TGGGCCCCACGGCCCGTAGCAAACAAATTTGTGGGCCCCAACACCCACTCCGTCCAAACCGAGTTATAGAATCTGACTTTGGACCATTTTGAAATCCGCCCAAATAAAACAAAACATTATTAAAAATTAAAAAATTAAAAAAATTAAAAACACAACGTGACCGGTTAACCGGTGGCGGCATTTTCTTTGTTTATTTATATGATATGTTGGTTGCAGAAGAGGCTTAGAAGCCGTTGTTTGTGTTGTGGGAGTGTTTGGAGCTTCTGGACTTTTGAGACCGAAGAAGGCCAATTTCCCCAAACGAAAAACTGAAACAGAGAGAGAGCCATGGAATCCAACGAATATGAACGTCTGCAACGTCATTGATTTTAGAGGTAAAGAGCAACACACTAACTGTAACTGCTTCTCATCTTCTATTGAAGTGAGCTGATCAAAGTTGATTCTAATAGTTTCGTGTTTGTTTGGCAGCGGATTTGAGCTTCGAGCCGATCCGAACAGAATCATGAACAGCTTTTTCCAAATTGTCAAGCAAGTAGGGGGAGAGGTCTTTGTTGATTGTCGATTTGTTTAAGTGCTTCTTGAAAAAGTTGATTAGGTAGCTGAGAGCGAAAGCAGATTGGTGTTTAGTGAGCGTCCGGCAATGGAACTGTTTTCGACTGGTCCACCGATTAAACGAAGAGCGGGATTACGGATTAAACAGGCTGGTCGGGCTTCGTACCGGGGCAGCTAGAGAAGGTGGTGGTGTTGTTGTCGTTTTGTGTTTATTGGATGCGAGTAAATTGTGTCGTTTGTTAGTTGTTGAATAATTTGAGCCCTGTTGAGGAAGTTAAGAAGATATGGGAACTACTGCTCTGAGGCAGTTGCTCAAGAGCCTCTGCAGCAACAATTCGCCTTGGAAATATGCGGTCATTTGGAAGCTCAAGCACCAGAGCGATTTGTAAGTTACTTTTTCTTTTCTATTATTTCAAATTTATGAACTTTTAATCTTGCAGATTTTTTTATTTTGTGTTTGGCCACCATCAGAGTTCAGAAATCAAGTTACTAATCAAAATGCTTTGGGTTTTGAGATTGCTTTCTATGATTATTTTGATGCATACTGTTTGAACCACAAATTAGGGGCTTCAATTTTGTTGGTGCAGCCAAGCATGTTTTAAGATACAAAACACATGTGTATATGCATATAGAAGTTTGAGCATTTATATCTTATCAAATCATAAAATAGAATTTGAATCTATAATCAATATGACTAGAGGGATTATGATCATTCTTCTCACATGAAAAAAAGTTCTAGTATGCTTAGGCTTTGACATCTAAATGACCTTTTTCACGGCGAACATTTTGTGTTTCTCATGAATATCAAAGCTAGTGATGATCTCCAGTCTGATAGTTGTCTTCTTGTTAATTAAGGATATTGGCCTGGGAGGATGGGTACTGCCATCATCCAAAACCAAGAGAAGCTGTGGAACATTCACCGGATGACATCTACTTCAGTGACGCAAATCAGATGCGTTTTAAAAATTGTGCAACAAGTGTACATGATGGTGGATCTACGGGCTATCCAATTGGACTAGCAGTGGCTGATATGTCACATCTTCAGCACACATTTGGAAAAGGGTACAATCTTGTTCTTCATTCTTGTCTTGCTGTGTACTTTCGTTCAATCTCCAGAAAAGTTTCTGCGGATTTGTTTTACAACAAATATCTACAAATATAAAAGTAACAAAAAGAAATTTTGGTGGAGGAGAATTCCTTTAGCATGCTCTTAATTATTTGCCACATGAATCCAATACTCTGGGTGTCCAAAATCACCATTACTCTTACGGGTTTGCCGAAAAAACTGTCTTTACACACGCATATGTATGTGCACACTACTTATTTAAACTGACGCTGTATGTAAATTTTTTGTTTCCTAAGAGACACCAGCAAGCCACACAATGAGTTAACTATTAATGTTCTCATATATTTTAGGGAATGAAGAATGCTAATGGTTCATTATGGATTTGAATAATTTCTCAGGGTTGTCGGTGAGGTGGCTTGCATGGGGAACCATAAATGGGTTTCCCTTCACAGTTTGTGCACCAGAGAGTCTGACTCTAAGTTAGTTCCTGAGGTAAATCTTATTTGAACAAGCTAATGGTAATTCTGCAAGTAGTGATAGTGAACACTGTACAGTATATCTAAAAAATGAATTATTTTTATTTATTCAGTGCCCAGATGAATGGCTTCTTCAGTTTGCGTTGGGTATCAAGGTAACTTGTTTGGCATATCCTAGTGGCATGAGCAGAGACTAGGTCACAGTTGCGAATTTTAATGCTCAGGATTCATATGTAATTACTTATAAATGGATGAAAAATCTGATTATGTATTTGATTTCTCATGTAGACAATTTTGCTTGTACCTGTACTTCCATATGGAGTTTTGCAACTTGGCTCCATGGAAACGGTGCGTGCTCATTCTGAACTTATTCTAAACTTCATGAATTGGTTGTAGCAGTTTATTTCCTGTAAGCATGTCATTATAGTGTAGTAACTAATAGCTTACAAGTTTATCTAGGAAGTTGTAGCATTAGAATTTTTTTAACTCACGCTGCATGAATCTGACATATTATTCTGACCCCCGTCTGGGGCTTAAGCACCTTGCATGTGAGTCTCAATCTGAATCTTTCTGTCTTTGTGTCTGCGTGTGTGTTCCATGTACATCGATCTGCTTGTACTCATCTTATTTGTCCCTTTCTTTTTTGATCAAGTTGTAGGTTGCTGAAGATCTGGCAGTGGTTGCTTTTGTGAAAGATAGATTCAATGCCATTCACAATGTTGTGGGGAAAACTGTACCTTTTAACTTATTTAGGGACATTCGAGCTGAATCATTATGGTCACAATCATTTAGTTTAATGGAGAACACATTTGAGTCATCAGCTGTTACCATTAACCCACTCAAGGTTGAAAGGTCAGAAGAGGTTGGCAACATCAGACTGAATGATACCTTACTGTCGACTTTGGAGCAATTTGTGCAATTGCCAACCATTGAAAATGTACTTCTAAACTCTGGAACAGATCAGCCAGAAGTTCTTAAGAGAATTGGAGAAAATGAGAATGGTGTTCCACGTATTTATCACACTGGAGAATCGAATCCATTCAGTCAGTGTGTAGATACCAACATGCTGGAGACCATAGAGACTCAAATGTTTGGGTTGTCTTGTTTGGAGGAAGAACTTCTAGCCTATTCTCAGTATGGTGGTTATAACGTGGATGTGCTTGGAGACCCTTTAAGTGGTTTCCATTCTTACTCTGCTGGAGGTATAGCAGAACAACTGTTGAATTACAATAATGCTGAAGATATAAGTTACAACAGGAAGGATAGTTTCTTTAGCTTTCCTGAAAATTGTGAACTACACAAAGCACTCGGAACAACTTTCCAGAGGCAGACCGATGAACATTTATGGAATTCATCCATCTCCATTGATGACACATGTAGCAGCTCTGGTTTGCAGAAAGATTTCATTCGCAGTATTGAGCCATCAAGGCTTTCGAAAGGAAGCGACGCTGAGAACCTCTTTGAATCCATGGTAGCCAGAGATGACACCTCATCAAGCAGATCTGACAATATTAAATCATGTATGACCACATCAAGTCAATTTCCTGCTTCTTGTGAGCAATTGAAATTTGAAGCAAGTGCCCCAATGGAGAGTGATTCAATGACATGGAATCATGCATCAGCTTCTTTCAAAGGCACGATGAGCACTTTGCTTGACAAAGAGCAGCAGGGCAAAGGATACACTCCTACAAAGCCTAAAAAGGAACAAAAGTCGTCCGGTGCCAGTGCAAGAAGGACCAGGCTTAGCAACAGCCCAAAGCTAAGACCAAGAGATAGACAATTGATTCAGGATCGTGTCAAAGAGCTGCGGGAACTCGTCCCAAATGGCGACAAGGTGGGTTTTTTTGTAGGTTCAATATTTTGTTGCGGGGCAATACATAATCACTAATCTTTCTCTAACTAGATATGTTTTTCCTTTTTGTGGCAAGTTCAGTGCAGCATTGATGGCCTTTTAGACCGAACCATAAAACACATGCTGTATTTAAGAACCATGACTGACCAAGCTGAAAAACTGGGGTGCTATGCGCATCAAGAGGTATGCAAAGCTCGTTCATGTTTGGTACACCAAGACTCTAAAACTTCTGTGAGGCCGGCACAATATCCCCGACTCACAGAAGTTTTTCTTCTACAAAGCCAACTTATAGTTTGCCAGCTGGTGTCCCAATTGTTACACTTTCAAGTTTCTGACCAAATCTATGAATCTTTTCCAGGTACCTCGTTCTAATAACATGAGCGAGGCCAAAATTGGTGGCCAAAATGGGACAAGCAGGGGTTTTGAAATCGGAAGCGAACTTCAGATTTGCCCTATTGTGGTAGAAGATCTTCAACACCCAGGGCACATGCTCATAGAGGTATGTTGGTGTTGCATGACCCCCAAATTTGTAAACTTTTTGAACACACACAGCTTCATTGCAGAATGTTTCAACCAATTACCATGTCCATTTCAGATGCTATGTGATGAACATGGACTTTTCCTAGACATTGCCCAAGCTATCCGTCGATTGGAGTTGACCATCTTGAAGGGTGTGATGGAAACCCGCTCAAGCAACATGTGGGCACATTTTGTTGTTGAGGTATAATTTGTTAACCCATTTATTTTCGTATAAAAATTCCACAATGATTTCATTTTTTTTCTTAAATGTTTCTCATTTCAATGCACCAGTAAAGATAACGAATGCTACAAACTTACAAAACTTTATTGCATTATGTTCAGGCTCCCAGGGGGTTTCACAGAATGGATGTTTTTTGGCCGCTGCTACACCTTCTGCAACGCAGAAGAAATAACATATCAAGCAAGATCTGAATCTGATGGTTGACCCCAAAAAAAAAAAAAAATTAGGCATCTCTTTTGTATTCAAGAAAATTGAGCACGCCCTCAAGTATTGTGCTTCAAACCAAGATCATTATGACAAGACCTAAGAAGCATAATGTCTTTGTCGGAATGTATAGTATCAGTACAAGTAGTTAATGTTTGTGTACGAACCAGACAGAATTTCAACCCAAAAAATAACCCCAGACAGAACTTTCTGCAATTTGCTGTCGGAAGAAAATTAGCTTCTAAAATCTACAAAGAATGGAACACATGGCTCTGTTCAAGCACACACATAAAAAAGAATGTACATTATGCATAAACAGGACGATATGTGCATTCAAGAACTTAAGAAGGCAGATTATCTGAAGCAGTCATATCCTAATAAGTCATTCCGTTTCTGTCACTGTCATTGATTAACACAGATTCAAGCGGGTCTTTCAGCAAGCAGTAGCGTGTGCCACCAGCCACATGCAATATTTTTAGGTAAGCAACCGTCTGTAGAAACTTGAGAAGGAAGGTTCCTGTCCACAGAATCACCCAGGCCAAGCTGCATCCAAACAGGAATATAAAATTTTCAAAAATGATCATCAAAGAACATATACGTTTGGAGCTCAATATATTAACCATAGAAGTTAGGAATCATACTTGGCCATACTTGTTCCACCCCCAACTAAATAATTGGCCGTCTTCTGCAGGCAAAGATAACAAAGAGATTGTGAATATCCAAGTACTATGTTTAGTGCAACAAGTAACTAAAAATCTGTTTATGGTCTCCCGCATTAAGCTCATCTTGGTTGAAATTGTTAAGAACCCTATCGACAATTTGATGGATAGTACTTAGAATACAAATATTGGCCCTCTTTATAATGTGGGATAGACAATGGCACCCTCTTACCCGTTAGTATGGCACTATGGCGTGCCCCACAGGAGACCACTTTGGCATGCTTGCTTTCCAAACTCGGAGATTCTAATGGCCTAGGTAGAGTCTGAATCAACAATGATGTGATTTAGTTAATTTATACAAGATTCATCTACAGAGTAGAACTAAAAAATTCCTCAGCAAAGACCAGTATTCTTTAAAAGCAACACAATGCAGATAACACTGCAGACAGAAACAAGTTGGACTGAAAGCGTAAGATCACAAAACTAACTCGGATTCAGAGTAGTAGTTTGCATGTTCCAGTTATAAATTCTGACATTTTTTTTCCACATTCTGATTAATCAATAAAAAACAAAAGAAAACCAAAAAGAAAAGTTGTTGAGATTACCTCAGCCTCATCGGCACCTGTTCCCAGCTGTCCGAACTGATTCCCCCCAAAAGCATGTACACGACCATCAACAGATATACATAGAGTATGCCACAGTCCGGCAGAGATGGTTTTCACTCTAGAATTGGACAATGAATTCACATAACTTGGTCTTAGTTGATCCTTTGTATTCCCTTGCCCACACTGGATAAAAATGGGGGTTAAGAAAAGATACCGCAAATAAATACAAGAATCAGGAAAGACAAATATATAAAAAGAAAATGTGGTTCCAACTGAATTACAAACCAGTGGTACTCCCAATTATCACAGTATGTAAGGAGAATGCTACCAAACGGTTCACTCAATGCAGAACAACTCAAACAACATAAAACCCTGACTATCATTGAAAGCTCACCTGTCCATAGAGTCCCCAGCCAAAAGTAAGCAGTGCTCCAGCATCTGCAAATTGAAGAATTATTGATAAAGGGAAAGTAGATGATAAAAATGAAAGCGATCACAGCAAAACTGGATGTTTTTATCAGATTAACAGGATCCATAGAACAGCCAACAATAATCTCACATTTTGCATTGACCCAAAGGTAATCAAGGAGAGAAAACAAATAAGTAGGCTTAGCACATACAACCGACAAATCCATTCTGTTGATATGTTCTTCAGTTATAAGTATTAATACTTTCGAGAAATATCAGCACTATAAAACAATCAATTAAATGCTGACCTGTTACTACCACACTGTGTCGACCACCACAAGCAATCTCCTTGACATAACTTCCAGGAACTTTTGTGCCTTGAGATACCGCAGAAGCCCTATCCTTTCCAGAAGAAGATGGCTCAATACAGGGTATGACATGAGGAGAAGAGACCATCTTTACCCGGGTACCCAAACCTAGCTGTCCTTCGCCTCCATAGCCCCAACCCCACACCTGTCCCATATCTGAAACTTCGGTTAAAATTATGATCCATCAGGTGTCTTGCTTTACATCAAAAATCTTCCATAGCTTCGTACTTCCTACAACCTACAAAACTATATGGTGTGACCACAAAGACGGAGTAACTATCCTGAAAATCATAAGCATAATCCCTGACCCTTGTGGTCTTACCTGACAAAGCTAAAGTGTGGCGTCCACCAGCTGCAACACTGGTGATCCTTACTCCAGGACCCAGAGTTACAAGACAAGGCGACAAAGTGAAGAAATCATCACCACCTGTTAAGGTTTCAGATTCAAGTTTAGGTGATGAAACTTTCCTCCGCTTTGCAACTTCCTCTCCAGCCCTTTTGCTGTCAAGATGAGATACTGTCCCACTAGTCAAATTGAAGCCTTGAGGCATTGGGCTTACTGTATAAGATCATAAAGTCTTAATCACATTGACTTAGTAAAATCGATAAGGCTTCCCTGATTGGTTTTGTCAGATATGCCCAGGTTTCAGAAATACCTTGCTCAGCTGGTGATGAACTTTGATTCCCTATGGTATCTGTTTGAGGAATTCCCACCATAGCCAAATCATGGATAAGCTTCCCAGACGGAACACACTCCTTCCATCCCCATGAGTATACATCCCCAGGCTCTGTAAATTAACAAATAATAAGAATTTATTTAGATTCTCCCGTGAAAACCCAGATTATCCATATAATAATCATCTGATTAGATGACTGAAACTGACATCGTAGAATTACCAAGAATTTCACAAATGGACTAAATACAACTGTCACAAAGAAATACTAAGAATCCATTCAATCCGCATATTAATGAACTAATTACTCTTAAATTCTTTCATTTCTAACACAAATCTTGGGTACTGAAAAATGAATATCCTATCCATGAATTTCATAATTCAAATAATAAAGAATGCAGAAATCAGAACCAAGGTGCACCTGTGACAGAAACGCAATGGGCCCAACCAGCAGCAGCCTTGAGTAGTGAAGCCTCAG